TATTGATTAGGATCATTGAAGGAAGAAATTTTCCAATCTATCATGAAGAACCCTAGATAGTACTTTATTAATGAAGTTGCTCAAACTTATGGGCCTTATGTCTAAGAAAGCCTGCATTCTTGGCTACTTTGGCAATTAAATAATATTAGTATGAGTGATGGACTTTGGCAAAGGTGTCCCTCCATAAAAGTGAAGTACCATATTGTGTATGCCATAGCATATTACCTCCCAACAAGCTTGGTAAAACAGTCCAGTGAATCCATCAGGACCACTGGAACTATCTCCACTCAACTGCAACCTTAACTTCTTCTAATATTGGAAATCTGCATAGCTCCAAGTTCTGCTTAATTGATACCATAGAAGGAACATTCTCCAGCATAGAAAAATATGTAGGATCTCTTTATTTAGTGAATTGCCTTTGGTAGAAATCAATGGCAACAATAGCCATTTGTTCTTGATCCTCTAGCCAATTCCCATTACCATTTTGAATTCTTCTCAATTGTAATTTTTGCCTTTTGCCATTAACATGATTATGAAAAGACTAGTGTACCTATCACTCTCAGCAAACCATGTCATCCCAGCTTTTTGCTTCCAGTACTGCTCCTCCAAACTCAAATATTTTTTCAATTTAGCTTGAGCTTTTTGTAGCAAAATCCTATTCTTAATTGTAGGTTCGTCCTCAAACAACTTCTCCTTTACTTTCACAATGTCCTCCAGGATAGCCAACTGTTTGAAAATATTACCAAATGTATCCTTGCTCCATTTATACAATGCTACCTTCACCTTCCTCAACTTATGCTCGAACATTAAGAAAGTGTCCCTAATGAAATCAGCATGCCAGTTTTCTCTCACCATATCCATGAAATATCATGTTTCTCCAAAAGTTCAAAAATCTGAAGGGCTTAACAAAGTTAGTAATCTGCTCTCCACAAGACATAAGCAATGGTGCATGATATGATCCAGTTCTAATCAAATGATCCACCTCAATTGAAGGAAGCATACTTTGAAATGGTAAGTTCACTAAGATCCTGCCTAGTCTTTTGAAGATACACTCAGCATTAGGTCTCCTATTCCACCATGTAAATGGACTACCTTTGTAGCCTTGATCAAATAAACCACAAGAGTTTACTTAAAATGCAAAATCCTCATATTCCAGAGGATGTATTGGTAATCCATCTTTCTTTTCATCTTCATGAAAAACCATGTTAAAGTCCCCTCCTACTATCCAAGGTAGCTCCATATCACTTGCCATATAGTATAAGTTATCTTACAATTCCAGACTCTCTAATGAAGAACACTTTGCATACACAAATGTCATCATAATATGTTGCCTTATTTCATGATGAAACACCTTTACAGTTAGCTGTTGTGCAGTTTCCATTACCAACTCCCGCTCTACCACAACATCAAAGAATTACCATATCTTCCCACTTAAATTTTAAAAAGTAGTCTCTATATTCAATCTTCTCCTATAACTTTGTATATGACATGCCTTCTGAAATAGTTCCATCAGTGCAATGACAAAGAAATTATGCTCCTTTTGCTTTTTGATCATCCTAGGAAAATCCTGCTGTGTATTCACATACCTATGTTCCAAATCAGTGTCTTGATCATCATTTAGTTTGTGAGACTGCCTTTCCGGTCATGATTCTTAGAGGTTAAAGAGGTTCCTTATTCTGAGTCTGCTTCTTTATCTTCTTACCCCCCCTTTTGCACTAGTTTTAGGAGATCAATCAGCTTCCTTTGCTACCTTGTTGAAATCTCCAGCAATTGATTCATCATCTCTTCTTCCAGTTGTTGTTACTCCATCAAATCTATTTCCACAGATGCCACATTGTGAGTGACTAGGTCATGCAATGTTTGAAACGAGACTTCATTAGAACATTGAGCTGAAGCTGCATGATCTGATCAGTGGCTGATGTACAAGCCATTGGGATTGCCTCTAATGCTCCAGTTGTCTTTGGTACAATAGCATGCTCCTCAGAAACCTTAGCATTCTGCTCCAAGTTGCCTACAACTTCTTGCATCATCCTGAATTGGAGTTCAAAGACATTGCCAGATTAGGGTTTACTGTAGCTAGTTTCCCAAAATTTATTGTTCCATTAAGATCAGTGGTCCTACCCTGAGCTGTTTGTTTATTTTCCCTCACTGTATCATCTAAAAAATTAACATTAACATTTTCAACCTTTTCCTTCCCCAAAATCTCCACCGGATCACCACTAGAATTGTCCAAAATCTAAATAGTCTTTCTAGGTCTTACTGTTCTATTGAGGTTCTTCCTCCAAGATGGTTCTGCACTTGATCCACCATTGATTCTAGGTTCTCCTTGTGCTCCTGTATCACCTCCAATTGGTTGCAAAGGTTGCTGAGCATTAGTCCTCTCTAAATCATCAACTCTAATTTCTTAGGAGCTAGGGTTTACTGTAGACCTAATGTCTACAATGTTTGCTTGTTCAAGTTGTAAGTTGCACCTCTAATCATCAGTTTTTGTGCTTATATTTGCCTCAAAATCATCATCAAACTCCTATACTTCATCACTCCATAATTGTCTACTGCCTCTAGTAGCTCCAGTTAACTTAGGTGATTCCACAAAGGTCTGAGAAGGTACCTCCTGACATAAGTGGTTTAGAGTAACACTAAGAGCTTCTTTGTGTGTGCCAAAGCTCCTTTGAACCCAATCAACCGTCCTCTACTTTGTAGCTGTATCCTTAATCCTATTACCACTAGGATTAGGGCTCCTATTTCCACCCGGATTCTCTTTCCCAGCTTCCATATTTTCCTCTATCCTAACCCGTGTATTACTAGGATTAGGAACACCTTCCTTAGCCGTTACATTAATCCCAAGACCATTAGGATTGGAGTTGGGATTTTCAACATTTCTTACCTGCTGCTTCTCCTAACCATTCCTAGAATTATTACCAATTTTTTTTCTCCTGCCCTTTCTTGGTAACATTCTCTAATTGTTCTTTCTCTTTTTCCTTGCCTTTTCCATCTCTTTTGCCATAAGTGATCCTTAAAGTTGGTCGATCAATTTCTTCTACCTCCAAAGCATCAAATTTGTTTTTTGTTGGTACTGCCTCATCTTTGTTCTTCCCCTTCCCATTGTCAACTACCTTCTCCTTTGTATTGTCAATTATATGACCCCTATTATCACGTTGATACTTATTCTTTCTTACTTGCATCCACTCCTGCTTGGCATTATTTGTGATTGGTTTACTAAAACTTTGTCACTTGAGAGTACTTTAGTTGAAGCAGTTCATTACCAACTACTTCCCTTCCAGTATCTTGATCCTCAACTTTGTCATCATACCTTTTATGCAATTATGCATGAATTACCCAGCATTCAATTTCATTGTGCCCTTGCTTTCTACATGTCTTACAATATTTTGGCAAGTAGCCATACTTGATCTTGATCCATTTGGATTCCTCCAGCCCAGTCTTATCTTCTTCTTCCACTATCTTAATTCTTTGAGGGAATTTTGTAAGTAAATTCACTTCTACCTTAACTTTAGCACAAATATGTCTTGTACCATTTTGTATAGCCAAATCAACATGAAGTGGATTACCTACTGCTCTTGCCAAAGAGAATACAAATTCCTTACCAAAAATATTTGGTGGCAGCTCTGGGAAGCTAATCCACATAATAGCTATGTGGGTCTCTTCATCAGGTTTCCACCAGGGGTTGTACTTAGTGCATCGCATCTGCCACATTTCACCTTATGCCTTCAAATAAAAAGCTGGCTTTGAGAGTAGATGAACATAGTCCTCCATCAATGATAACCTAATTAATACATGATTATCTTCAATGAGCCCTATGGAACAAGCACCCTTCAACTCACATTAGATTGGTATATCCTTGCACAGCTCGTTGATCACTGGTTTGCCATATGAAAATTTTCTCAGCACTGCCAGTTGCAAGCCTTGTTTAACTATTAATTGCTTCACTTCTGCATTTTCCAACATATTATAGGCTCTGCACGTAAATACTCCACTGGTTTTATAGGAATGACGGTTAGGGTTTGCATGGGAGTATTTAATGATTTTGGTTATAAAAGATTAACATAGTTTTGGATTGGATTTGTGGGTGTAATAGATGTAGTAGGTTGTGGGGGAGGTGTAGACGATTGACTAGCCCCATCATGTGGCTGGCCAGTAGCCAGCGATGCCATGAAAGAGCTTGCAAATTGGTGGGTTTGGGTTTAATATTAGGATATATGGGTATATGTGTCGGGGTTTTTTTTGTTATGGGTATTAACCTAATAAACAAAAACAAAACAAAAAATAAAAAAAATGTAATACTTACCTGCAACCCCCAGCCTACCACCCCATGCCAAGCTTGACATTGGGGGGACTTCGACCATTCTGTAAAATTGCGCCCCAAGCAGTGTGGGGCGCTGGTTCGATAATTTTTTAAAAAATAATATCTCGATCCCCCGAGTACTTATATATCCAATTTACATGCCCCACACTATTATACCTATAATTTCTATGTCTACAAAGAAAATAAAAACTCTAGTATACTCTAACTGAAAACTTAAAAACTAAACTATGAAAGCAATAAAAATTAGGTTGCCTCCCAACAAGCACCTGATTTAACATCGCAGCATGATACAGGGACTCACTTACTCATTAGCGAGTACTATTTTGGTCTTCTCACGATTAATGATTCCTCCTCAATAGTGCTTGGCTCTGTGCCCATTCACTAAAAATTTTCTTTCACCATGTAAAGCGTGCAGCTCAATTTCACCATAAGGAGTGACTCTCGCCATCTCAAATAGACCTGACCATCTTGATTTTAACTTCCCGGGAAACAAGTTGAGCCTAGAATTGAAAAATAGTACCTGCTAACCTGGTTCGAAGTGATGTGGCTTGATACGCTTGTCATGCCATATTTTTGTTTTCTTTGTAAAGCTTAACATTTTCATAAGAGTGCAACCTGAACTCATCTAACTTATTCAACTGCAAGAGTCAATTCTCGCTCGCGGCTTCAAAGTCCATATTCAACTTTTTAATGGCCAGTACGCCTTGTGTTCAAGTTCGACAGGCAAGTAACATGCCTTCCCATAAATAAGCTTATACGGCGATTCCCCAATTGGTGTTTTGTATGTAGTTCTATATGACCACAAGGCATCATCTAACTTTGCAGCCCAATCCTTCCTATTCGCATTCATTGTCTTCTCTAATATTTGATTTATTTCTCTGTTGGACACCTCGACTTGTCCACTTGTTTGCAGATGATATGATGTGGCAACCCTATGGCGGACCCCATATTTAGCTAAAAGGTTATTCAGCAACCAAATACAGAAATGTGTCCCTTCATCACTAATCAAAGCGCATGAAGTCCCAAACATCGAGAATATGTTCTTCTTCACAAAAGCAGCTACCACCTTGGCATCATTTGTTTGCAATTTGATTGCTTCTACCTATTTTGACACGTAGTCAACTGCTAGCAATATGTATTCGTTTCCTCTGAATAATGGGAACAGTCCCATAAAGTCTATCCCCCACACATAAAAAATCTCTACCTCCAGGATATTATTCAAAGGCATTTCATGCCTCTTTGTGATTGTTCATGTTCTTTGACACTAGTCACACTTCTTAACAGATGCATGTGCATCCTTGAATAATTTTTTCCAAAAGAATCCACATTGCAACACCTTTGAAGCTTTCCTATCGCCTGCATGATGGCCCCCATAAGGTGATGCATGACAATCATACAACACTAATTCCACATTCTTTTCTGGAATGCATCTCCTCTTCAACTGATTAGCACACTGTTTGTACAAGAATGGGTCATCCCAATAGTAGAAGTTTACATTATGTAGAAACCTCTTTCTTGCCTCAGATTCAATTTCAGGAGGAAGTACCCCACTCACAAGATAATTCACATAATTCGCGTACCATGTGGGAGGGTCTTGGGTGATGGAAAAAGTTTCTCATCAGGGAATTCCTCCTTAATTTGTCCACCCTACTCCACGTGGTCATGATTTTCCAACCTTGATAGATGGTCAGCTACTTGGTTTTCTATGCCCTTTCGATCTCGTATTTCTACATCAAACTCCTACAATAACAAAATCCAGTGCATCAATCTAGCCTTGGATTCCTTTTTTGTAAATAGATACCTAATTGCTGCATGATCGATATGGACTATCACTTTTGTTCCCACCAAGTATGCCAGAAATTTCTTAAAGTCCCACACAATGGCCAACAACTCCTTTTCAGTGGTGGTGTAATTCAGCTGTACATCATCAAGAGTCTTACTCGCATAGTATATGGAGTAAATCATCTTGTCCTTCATTTGGCCTAGCACTGCCCCAATAGCATGATCACTTGCATCGCACATAAGTTCAAATGGTAAGGACCAATCTATTGCCGCAATAATGGGGGCAGCCACCAGCTTTTTCTGAGATCTTCGAATGTCTTCAAGCAGGCTTCATCAACATTGAAGGTTACATCCTTTTCAAGAAACCTGCACAAAAGAGTAGCAATTTTTGAAAAATCGTTAATAAAGTGTCTATAGAACCCCGCATATCCCAAGAAACTCCAGACACCCTTCACAGAAATGGGTGGAGCTAATTTTTCAACTTCCTCCACCTTCGGCTTATCAACGTCAATGCCACTGCTTGACACTCTATGGCCCAACACGATGCCTTCTTGTACCATAAAATGGCACATTTTCTAATTTAGCACTAGATTTGTTTCTTCACAATGGGCTAAAACCTTGCCCAAATTCTTCAAACATTCATCATAAGAAGACCAAAAGACTGAAAAATCATCCATCAAAACTTTCACAAATTTTCCACCATATCGGTGAAAATAGCCATCATGCACCTCTGGAAAGTGGTCGGTGCATTACAAAGACCAAATGGCATTCGCTTGAAAGCGAAAGTACCATAAGGACAAGTAAAAGTGGTCTTCTCCTGGTCCTCTGGGTATATGACAATCTGGTTGTACCCTGAATAACTATCAAGGAAGCAATAATATTCATGTCCCGCCAATCTGTCCAACATTTGGTCAATGAATGAAAGTGAGAAGTGGTCCTTGTGGGTTGCTTTGTTGAGCCTTCTGTAATCAATACAAACTCTCCACCCCGACACGGTGCGAGTAGGAATTAGCTTATTTTTCTCATTCTCTACCACAGTCATCCTCCCTTTTTAGGCACACATTGCACTGGGCTTACCCAGTTGCTGTCAGAGATAGGAAAGATGATACCTGCATCGAGCCACTTAATTACTTCCTTCTTCACGACCTTTTTCATAATGGGATTTAATCTCCTTTGTTGCTCAACATTAGGGTGGTGTCCATCTTCTAGAAAGATTTTATGCATGCAAAATGATGGACTGATTCCTTTGATGTCAGCAATTGTCCACCCAATAGCCTTTTTGTGCTCGCGACATACTCTGAGCAATTTTTCTTCTTGCACACCGGTCAAGCTGGATGAGATAATCACTAGCAATGTCTCAGAGTTCCCCAAATAAGCATAGCGTAGATGCGCTGGAAGGGGCTTAACCTCTAGCTTTGGAACTTCTTCAATAGATGGCTTAGGAGGGGGTCAGAGTGACATGCCTGTCCAACTCCTCAAATCTCGCAAACCCATGTACATAACTGCAAGACATGTCAAGTACTTGCTCAATTTCTCGCATCATCTCATCTTCACTATCTTCTTCATCCGCAATCAAGGCTTGTTAAAGAGGATCTATAGGGCTCATATAAGGCACCAATGACGTCACAACACTTTCCGCCACAGAAATCATGGATAGATCTTCATACTGGACTGACAATATGTTTTATACACATTGAATACCTCCACTTGGTCGCCCACTATCATCGTCATCTTTCCTTCACATACATCAATAATAGCTTGGCTTGTGGCTAGGAATAGACACCCTAAAATAAATGGGACTCCCTGATCAGGCTCATAGTCCAAGATAATGAAATCAACAGGGAATATGAAAGAACCCACTTGAACTAACACATCTTCAATCACACCTTTAGGATGAGCAAGGGAGCAATCAGCCAACTACAAAATCACCGTGGTTGGGCGCAGCTTACCCAACCCCATTATCTGAACATAGATAGCTACATCAAATTGATGCTCGCCCCAAGATCACACAAAGCTGGTCCGACTATGTGCTTACCAATCGAGATTTGGATAGTGAAACTACCCAGATCCTTTAATTTCTGAGGTAGCTTGTTGAATTCTTGAGCTACATTCTTCAGTGAGTGCCACAGTCTCGAACTCTGTTAACATCCTCTTATTTTGTCACGTCCCAAACTCGGAGAGCGTGACCAATGCTCAACCGAGAGAACCTGGTTAAGCAAGCCTGTTGAACACACCCTACTCAAATTCACACTTGTTTCAAAGAGAGTTCATAACATTGCTAGTTAACCAATAATGAGATCATGTATGCAATACCAACGCGTTTCCATATGTTATTTTATTTTAAAGTCTCCAAAATACACACATTGTCGTAGTTTTAAGTAGAATAGATTATTCAAACATAACATAATTCGTTCGACTTTCCCCAGCACCCATATACAAATAACCCATGCTATGTCTACAAAGCCTCTAAATATATACAAAAGAGTACTACCAAAGTGCCGGCGACAAGGCCCCGTCTATGCCTCAAGTCCAATACATAAGGAACAAAAGATGCATGTCCCCGAAATGAAATGGGGCTCACCAAGACTGCTGGGAGGAGGATGTACTGCTAACACTGATCAGTGCTGCCTACTAGGGAACTACCTGCATCCATTTAAGATGCAGCGGCCCCGGCAAAAGGGACGTTAGTACCGTCGAATTGTACTAATATGTATAACTGAACTCCATCTCGTTAAAATGAACAATAATACAAGTAGGGACAATCATAATATCAGTTAAGGCATTGAACATCTACCAAACATCATATAAGAGATGGGATAAGTTTCGATTAAATTTCCATATTTTAAGTCGGGGAAGCCTTCAGTACCAATATGAAACCATTCACCATTTCGATTTCAATTTCCAATACAGTCACCACCATGTGTATGATATGGAGTCCGATCACAACCTTGATCGGCTAGGCCATCCCATGTGGGACATAAACCACAATCAATATTTCAATTTCAATGTCAGTTACAGTCACCACCACGTGTATGGCATGTCGTCCGATCACGACCCAATCGGCTAGGCCATCTCATGTGAGACATCAACCACCATTACAATTTTGATTAAAGGTTTCCGATACAGTCACCACCATGTGTACCGCATGGCATCCGATCACGACCCGATTGGCTAGGCCATCTCATAAGAGATATGAACCACAATTCTATTATTTCACTTGGCATGTTGGCCATATTTCATATTTTATATTTCATATTTCACTTTTAGTATTTCTTGCTTTGTATCTCATATTTTATATTTCATATTTCAAGTTCTTTTCCAGATCCTACATTACTATCATCATCAACAACAATAAGGCTTTTCATTCAAAACTTTGATTACACACATGAGCAATTTAGAATCTAAGGCACACAAAGACTTTCACACAATTTGGCGTAACAATCTTTGTTCGAATTTGACTTGAAGTCTAGGCGTTCTTAGCACATATTCCACATTTTGAACAGATCCTCAATTGATAAGATAACATGATGAAAACATTGAAATACATATTGCACATATATTTTTCAATGCAAGCACATTCGGAATAGCAATTTATATAACAATCAGTTTGGGACTTACACCGGTTGCATGAACACCATGGGATTCAGTTCTAAGAAGAGGGGTTTTTAGCCATACATACCTCAATGGAGCTTCGTTAAATTTGACTATATTCCGGAACTCTTAGTAACTTCAATCTATTTTAGGAATATTACAAGTTGAACCAAAAATTAGAAAGATAATCATGATTCTAGCTCATTTGAGCACATTACCAAACATTAGGTGTGTATTATGTTTTTAAGACCCTTTTGTAAGATTCCATCATGCCACCCTCCATTCTTTATCATTTTTAGCTCACAATCCTCATACACTCTTTTATCACACATGCATGCAAGATAAACAACTCCCTTACCCAAGTATGGTCTTATTAATTACCCATTGTTAGAAAAAATTTGAGGTTAAGAGATAGCGCATAGATTTTTACCTTTAAGGTGAAGATTTAGTGAATTTCCTTGTTAATCTTCAATGATTTGAGCAAGAATCGATGGGTAATAGGTTGAAGAACACTTCCCCACTCTAAGAACTCTCTCTCACTTCAAAAGTATCAGATTTAACTAGAAAAATGACCCAAAATGCTTATATAACAAGATTGGGTCAGTTATAAAAATCCCAAAATGAAGCCCCGGAATAGGAACTGCGGTCGCATAAGATCATTCATCCTCGAATAAGGGTCAAAGTTCCTTGTTAGCATCCGATGTAACTGAACTGCCATACTACACACCAACAAATCCCAATTAACTAACTCCCAAAATTTCTAAAAATTTCGCGAGAGTTCCCTTTGTAACTGGGCCTATCCACCTGTCAAAGAACCCTAGAACCACATCCTAACAACATGTATATGATCCAATGACGTAACATAACACAAAATGACACCAACCATGGCCTCATAAGCAACATATAACCAAAAAGAAACAACCTTACATCAACTGAACAAGTGATACAAAAATTCATATGTAGTAACTTCATAGAAACTATTACATAGCTATTCAAACAAATGCGGATAGTTCTTTTTCATTTCTTCCTCGGCCTTCCAAGTAGCCTCTTCAACCTGCTGATTTCACTATAGCACTTTTACGAAGGCGATTTATTTATTCCTCAACTTTCGGACTTGCCTATCAAGAATGACAACTGGAATTTCTTCATATGATATTTCTTCCTTAACCTCGATAGTCTCAACTGGCACAATAACAGACAGGTCCCCGATTACTTTCTTCAACATAGACATATGAAATACCGGGTGCACTAATGACATCTCTGGTGGTAGCTCAAGCTTGTATGTCACCTGACCAATCGTCTGAATGATTCTGTATGGCCCGACATACCTCAGACATAATTTCCCTTTCTTTCAAAACCGCATTATACCCCTCATGGGGGAAACCTTCAAGAATACCCAATCATTTTCTTTGAATTCCAAATCTCTTTGACGAACATCCGAATAGGACTTTTGATGGCTCTGAGAAGTTTTCAATCGCTCCTTAATGATCTTAACCTTTTCTATAGCTTGATGCATGAGGTCTGGTCCTATCAATTTAGCTTTCCCAATCTCGAACCACCCAATGGGAGATTTACATCTCCTACCATATAACGCTTCAAACGGTGCCATATGAATACTAGCATGATTGCTGTTGTTGTAAGAAAATTCTATGAGTGGTAAATGGTCATCCCAACTACCCTTGAAGTCAAGAACACAAGCACGCAACATATCCTCAAGCTTCTGAATAGCCCGCTCTGCCTGCCCGTCAGTCTATGGATGAAAGGCTATACTAAGATTCACCTGAGTACCCAGACCTTGCTGAAATTTCTTCCAAAAGTTAGCTATGAACTGAGCTCCTCGATCTGCAATGATAGAAACTAGAGTTCCATGCAGCCTGACTATTTCCTTGATATACAACTAAGCATATTGTTCCGCTGTGTCAGTAGACTTAACTGGCAAGAAGCGTGCTGATTTCGTGAGTCGATCCACAATCACCCAAAT